GCATGTGGGTACCCTTTGCCACTGCTGCTGCACATTGTCCCGTGTGCGTCTCCATGTGGGAAGGGGAGGGCATGTGCCACAGCTCACCTTCCCCCGCCGCTGCCCTCCACCAATGCGAGGATGGTCGGCACAGCTTTGCTTCCAGATCTGTGGCCGGCTGGGCTTGGCGATGCAGGAATCACTGCCGCCGCCTCCTGCTTCCCTGTGTGGTTGGCCAGTCAAGGGGCTCAGAGCAGCAGCAGCCACCTCCGTCAGAGCAACCGTGTAGACAGGACCCGCACCAGATGAGGGCTGCTTCCTGGCTGTCCCAGGACTGTCTCTGCTCACACCGATGGGGCTGCCATGATGCAGGAGGCTGTGGCTGCTGACAGACACCGGCAGCCCCCATGCGCTCACTGGTCTTGTGTGTGTGGAGGCTGATGGTATCAGGCAGCGGCTGCTCCAGCCCGTCTTGCCTTGCCTTGCCTTGCCCCACGGCAATTGGCACACCTGTCCTGCATCGCCTTGCCCCGCAGGACGAGCCTCTGGTCCACCACCCCACCCACCAGAGACCCCCTGGATCTCCCCCAACCCTGCCCGGCTCCCACAAGCATCCTTCCCACAAGCATCATCGAGGTGGCCACACCCACCGTGGCCATGCTCACCCAGTTGGCCGTGACCACCGAGGCCATGCCCAACTGGTCAGCCATGCCCACCCGGCACCCGGTGATAAATAAATGGGTTTTGGGTTGTGGTTTGGGCACTCGGTCTCTAAAAGGTTTGCCACCATTGTCCTAAACTATACCTGTGCATTTGGTTTTTCTTGCCTAAATGTAGAACCTTATTCTTTTCAACATTTCCACCGTTTCTATTTCCTGAACTGTTAACATACACAATTTAATTTAATGTAAAATTTTAGAGTCCACAGTTGTCTTTGGCAATTCAATTTCCTTTTTTCCAATTTCATCCAATATCTTTTGCATCTTTTTCTGGGATTTCTTCTTCTCTAGATAATTATATTGTGTAAAATAGCCTCTGTTAACTGCTTTACTAGTATCCCAAACAATCATTAGATTTGTCCTTTTACCCTGGTTATTATCAAAGTATTCATTTAATTTCTTTTTACAGTCCTTTACAATCATCTCATTTTGTAAAATAGGAATATTGTGATTGACTTGTATAATTGTTTTGTGGGCAGACATTCATTCTTCATATTGAGACTTTTTCTTGCACCTGTTTTAAATCACATTTAAGCTCTGCCAGATCTTACTGGATTGGCTTGAAGATTTATACCTGAGCCAGAATCTCTTAACAAATTGGTAGAAGAATTCTCCTCCGCTATCATTCCCAGCCTGGCAGATGATGATACAGCTGGAATTAAGCTAAATGTGGAATGTTTGGGTCTAGTTGCCATTCCTGTTGCTTGTTAAAGACAAAATAATATCTAATGGAAGGCTTTATTTATCCAATCAAAGTCTTTGTCCATACAGTCTGATAATTCAAAGTTCGAAAAACTTTGGAGAGGGGTGAGAGATATGCACTGACAATGCAATCTCAAAGCTTTGAAATACCACACAACCCATGCACAGGGGTATAACCAGTGGTGGTGTTCTGTTCTGTGCGTTGGTAAGGCATTGAGATGAGGCAGATGTAACAACAGTTGCGTCTTTATTCAAGCTTCAACAGAACAACACAAAATGGCGCAGATCCCTTTTATACCCTTTTGCAGGGAACAGCGACAGCCAATAAATGCAATGTATTTTCCTTCTTTGCGCGTGAGCAAAAGGCTGGAGACAGCCTGTCTGGCGCAGGCAGCCACGTGGTCTGCCCAGGTCTCTCTGCAGCTTCCTGCACCTGCTCTGTGAATCACAGGACACAACAGGTGGGATTCAGCCAGTTCGCACACCTCGGCAGAACCGATAACTAATTTTTTGTTGCCCAGGCCCTGAATGAACTTCCGGAAGTGGCATCCAAACAGAGAACCGGTTGTTCACATATTTGAATCCCATCACTGGATATAATTATATATAGAAGAAAACAAAAGGTATCTGTATTCAGAAAATATACTGGCCCAGAGAAAAGTTATTTGGGAAATGGGGATTGCTGGATGCAAACTTGCCCCAAAACAGGATATAACAAAAGTTGCCAGAAAAAAATTGCTTTGAGGTTGAATTGGGTTTGTGAGAAATTGAGGGAGGCAGCCCATTTGAACTCAGCAACACAAAGTTTAATAAGAAATAACTAAAAGAAAAGTCAATGCTCTAAATGACTGAAATTTTTATTAATGTTGCTTGGTCTGACACATAAACACAAATATGTACCGAGGTATTTTGTAAATATAAGACACAGTTTCTATACCTGTGACAGCTGTATGTAAAAGCAAATGTAGCAATCATTGACAATAATATTGCTAATCTGACACCAAAAAGAGGACAACTATTTTCCGTAGCAGGAAAGATGATTCCCACTTCATCTGTGTTGGAACACCATCCAATTACATATGCAAACAAATTCTGGTTTAGTTGTTTTGCCCTGCAGTCTCCCTTTGGACCTTTTTTTGTTGAAGCAGGCCCCTTTGAGTGGAACAAAGAAATATCCTGGGAGGATAAGATTGTCTCCCACTGATTTCTCAATGTTGCTATTTTGAGATGAGATTTATGTACATCTATTTTTCTGCACAGTGACTGGTAGGAGTGAGCAGGCTAGAAACTCAGGTTTCTAAAGACTTCAAACACTTTTTATTTTGTCTGTGTATAATTTAAATATTTAAATTTTTCAATTCTGACAACTATTATTTTGTTGTTGTTGTTGTTGTTAATTGCTAAGTCGTGTCCGACCCATCGCGACCCCATGGACAATGTTCCTCCAGGTCTTCCTGTCCTCTACCATCTTCTGGAGTCCATTTAAGTTCACACCTACTGCTTCAGTGACTCCATCCAGCCATCTCATTCTCTGTCGTCCCCTTCTTCTATTGCCCTCAATCTTTCCCAGCATTAGGTCCTTCTCCAGTGAGTCCTTCCTTCTCATTAGGTGGCCAAAGTATTTGAGTTTCAACTTCAGGATCTGGCCTTCTAAAGAGCAGTCGGGGTTGATCTCTTCTAGGACTGACCGGTTTGAACGCCTTGCAGTCCAAGGGACTCGCAGGAGTCTTCTCCAGCACCATAGTTCAAAAGCCTCAATTCTTTGGCGCTCAGCCTTTCTTATGGTCCAACTTTCACAGCCATACATTGCAACTGGGAAAACCATGGCCCAGACTATACGCACTTTTGTTGGCAGGGTGATGTCTCTGCTTTTTAGTATGCTGTCTAGATTTGCCATAGCTTTCCTCCCCAGAGGATGTTTATTGGAATTCCACAATAAAATATTGCTATCTCCCATATAATCCTGCATGTCAGTTAAGATTTAGGAAAGGAAAGGCATTTCTCAGTGGGATCCTAGCTGTAGAATTCTCTCTTAGGCTCTCAAAGAATTCTTAAAAATTGGAAGTTGAAACAAACTCTTCTTAAACAATACAATGGTTTGTAATCTGATATCATGGTATACTATCAGAATATACTTTTACTGGCTAAACTAGCAAAAGGAGCAAATCATGGCTCAAGCTGAAAATAAGTAAAGATATCACTACATTTAGAAACTGGGACAGAGATACAGGGCCTTGCAATACTAAAGAGATTAAATGAGTCCCAGAGGCAAGCAACAAAAATGTATTGAAGAAAAGGCTGAATTAGCCACATATTTTAAATCCCAAACTCTTCCAAATGTGAATGGCAATCATCTGAACCATTCCAGAGGCTTCTTGGAATACAATGGGCCCTTTTGCTTGTTTTTAAAATACCTATTCATGTTCCTGAGGCTAATAAGTAGCTGCTTATTACATAAGCTATTAACCATAGAATTTGCCTAGAAGATAAAACTATTTACAGAAAACTTAAACTAATGGGTCGCCTCATACTATAAGACATGGATAGAAAGTCCCAAATACTTTCTTTAATATCCTCCTTTACCACAGAAGGACTCTGAGCAACTTCCATTCCCCTCTTATAGTATCAAAGATAAACATCAGAATAAACAGCGTAGGTTGCATATGCAATTATAAAACCTTCAGCACTGAGGAAAATTAAGCATCAAGCAAACATACAAACCAAAAAGCTACATATGATAGTTCCATTCCAGGGCTCTCTTAAAAGCCATATATTAATGGGAGTTTGTCTATTTTGGGAAATACGCTGTTCCAAAGACCAGGTGATTAAAATTGAAAAAGCTATATTCCATGGCCCCTGGAGATGACAATGCCTAAGAGAAGAGAACCAGAGACAGCCTACCCTTTATGATCCTACCACAGGGAGAATTTGGTCCTGTAGATATCCAGGTCCTTTAAACAAGAGTACCAGCATTTTCAATCACATTCAACTAATATCCAGTGGGGCTCGTGAAGTAGAAAGATTATATAAGGGAACTTGGATACTTCCATCACTATTTGGAATAGCTGTACTCTATACCAGGGGGCTCCAACTTTGGCCATTTTAAGACTTGTGGACTTCTCCTCCGTGATATATCATGATATATAACTGGGCATTATTTATATTCTGACGTTATAAATACAAGTCATACAGGGCTGAAATTTGACTTGAAAGGGTTTAGATAATCTATTTCCTCCAGGAGTCTCAGATGGATGCAGATGCATTCACACACAAAACTATGCATAAAATTAAGTGTGACACAATATAAATTGGGGAAACTATAAAAACTATAAACTAGATCATGGCACAGTCATTGCATACCATTCTTACCATACGGCATTATTCAAGGCTTTGCATGTTAACTTGCATATTTAAGGAAATACCCTTAATCAATCAAAATTTGTCTGAGTCATGATTATTTTCCCATTCTTCATTAGAAAAATATTACTACCTACCCATTAAATAAACATTACCTTCTTCCCAATTAGTGATAGAATAATCTTTCAGATGCTCCTAGGCTTTTCTGGATATAAGGAAAAAATAGTGGTAACCTCTACTTACATGAAACCCCAAGCAACCTTGGTGGTGGTGGTGGAGGTGGCGGTGGTGGTAATGGAGGTGGTCTACATTGGCAGATATGCTGGCAATTATCTGTAGCTTTCTCTACTAGAGGTTTAGAGCATGACTTCTGGAGTTCGCCCTGAGTAATCTGCAAAGAATGAACAAGTATTCAACTGATTATCTCTCTTCAATACTTGAACAATCAGCTCTACATCTAACAGCTTAGTCAGCAATTCATTTCTTATTTTTGTATACATGGTGCCCTGAAACACAGTATGTGAAACTTCTAGTTTTTAAATTCAAACAGTAGTTTCCTGTCTGTGGGGAAGCAGAACAGCATCCTTTCCATTCCCCCCCCCCAACTCTTCATTGTCTCTCTTTGCTTTTACTTTCTAGCATACGAGAAGTGAATTTGTAACTGAGTAAATGGAGGGCATAGTTCTCTGATCTGAATCTGGATGGGGTTTGGGGTGGGAAATAGATTGTTACCTTTTGTTTCCCCTACAGCCCCCACCTGCATCAAACATCTTGCATTTGCCACTGGAAAAAAGAGCTACTTTCTGCATGGCTTCATATTCCCAATTTGGCCCTACATTTTCTGTTGCCTTACTTTTTGCTCTAAAATAGTTTTCCCCCAATTTTCTCTTACAACTGCAATTGAGCCCAAAATTTCTATCGCTAAGAAAGACAGTTGCCCCATTTTACAACATCTCTTGTCACAGTTATTAAGTGAATCACTGCAGTAAAGTTAGTAATATGGTTGTTAAGTGAATCTGGCTTCCCCACTGAATTGTCAGAAGGTCATAAAAGGTGATCACATGACCCTGGGATGCTGCAACTGTCATGCCAGTTGCCAAGCATCCAAATTTTGATCATGTGACAGGGATGCTGCAATGGTTGTGTGAAAACGATCACAAGTCATTTTTTTAAGTTCTGTTGTAACTTCAAACAGTCACTAAACAAATGGTTGTAAGATGAGGGCCACCAGTATGTCTTTTTATTCTCAGATCTGATAATAACTACTATCTTTGAATGTTCCTTTAAAGACCATTATGTTTTTATTTAATTCTATATCCCCTTATCCTGAAGTGCAACCAAGTTATTTGTGAATGCTCACTGGATCCAAATGCAATGCAAATCTCTGCTATGTATAAACTGCTAATTAAGAACAACTCCAAAATAAGAATCTGGCTGAACTAAACTCTAGCAGGGCATTATGGGAAGCTGAGAGGATCCCAGCAAGCGCTGACAAGGATTTCACAATCCCGATATTTTCAGAGGTCCCTGGATCAAACACAAAGAGAGGGGTATTATCTTGACCAAAGACTGAAATAATACCTAAATATATTAAAGAAATCACAATTAAACAAATCTTTAAAGTTAGCAACAAATAAAATAAATCAAAAAAGAATTTTTAAAAAAAACCTCAAGCAAACTAAAAACAGTTTTGTCTTGGATTATGGTAATAGGGAGAGGAAATTCAAAGATACCACATTGCAATGGTCCAAACATCATCCGGTGAAATTTTCATTTTACAGCATGAAAAAGGGAAGAAGGGAACAGTCTAGCATACAATGAATTCTTCCATATAAACTGTCATGGTCTCTGGTGAGATAGAATGTTGAACCATGCTGAGTAGTTACAAATTCATATAATTCATAAAATCATGGCACTGGATTACATCATTAGGCCATCAAATCTAACCTTCTGATACAAGGAGGAATTCAAATTAAAACTTCTCAGACAGTTGGCTTGACCCCATCCATGAAGTGTGTATTATTATTGGTCTAGAAGTTGCTGACATGTATATGGAGGTTGTTAAGTAGGGTGCTAGGCTATCAATATACTATATTACAAGATTGTTGAAAGCATTATAGTGGCTTTCTATTAGCTACTGAACAAGTAGTCCTGCTTATGGTATATATGGTTCTGAACAACTAAGACCAGGATAACTGACATATGACCTGCCCTTTTATACACCTACCCTTTTAATTGCTCCAATTGGAACCAGGATTATCATTGCTAAACAATGCAGTTGTAAAGCACAATGCCATGTGACTGCATTGTTTACTGACACCAATCCTGGCAGTTCTGGTTGCTGTTGTAACCCCAAAATGTGGGAAGAGTTGGAAGTCCCAGGTAAGGACCACAGGAGTGCTGCTTCCTGGAGAATGGGCAGGCATTGGGAGGGCTAGTGCAGGCCATGTGCAAGTCAAGGAAGCTCTGGGAAGGCCAGTGCAGGACATAGGCAGGCAGGCAGGCAGGTGAAAAAGTAGAGTGACTTACCAGAGCAACTTGCAACCTTTCCTGCTGGCTTCCCCATTGACTTTGATTGTGAGAAGCTGACAGGGAAGGTCACAAATGATCACACGACCATGGCTCCCTGCAATGTCATAATCACAAGCTACACCCAGCACCTGGACTGCAATCACAGAAGTGCCACAATGGCCAGAACTTTGAGGACCGATCATACGTCCATTTTTTTCACTGCTTTTGAAAGGGTTTCTGAATAAATGAATGTAAATTGAGGTCTATCTACAGATAGTCCTCGACTTACAACCACAATTGCTACTAAGCAAGACAATTCTGTTGCTAAGCAAGACATTTGTTATGTCAATTTTGCCCCATTTTATGACCTTTCTTGCCATAGTTGTTAAATGAATAACTTCAGTTGTTAAGTTAGTGACACAGTTGTTAAATGAATTGGACGTCTCCATTGACTTTGCTTGTCAGAAGGTCACAAAAGGTAATCACATGACTCAGGGACAGTGCAACCATCATAAGTATGAATCAGTTGCCAAAGTCTGAATTTTGATCACTGACCTTGCAATGGTTATAAGTGTGAAATATGATCATAAATCACTTTTTTCAGTGCAGTTGTAACTTTGAACAGTCACTAAATGAACTGTTGTAAATTGAGGATTACCTATATACCTAAATAATATTTAAACAATACATAATCAATAAACCAACCCTTAAGTTTTTAACCAAAATGCACCACCTACAGATAAATTGATACATTTTTTATGGTAGTTTGGTTAAAAATTGGAGGGTCTGCTTCTTGTTAGATGTACTTATCCACAAGTATATAGGGTTATATGGGTTCCTTTTTAAAATATCATATATACTAGCAAGTAAGCCTATCTGCGAATATGTGAAAGCCAATTATTTTGGATGTATTTTGGCACCTAAAATTCCAAGTATATACAATAAGCATATATATGTAGGTGTTTGGTTATTCGGGTTTTCTCCTGCGTAAAATTGGAAGTGTCTTGGCGACGTTTCGACGAAGTCCCATTCGTCATCTTCAGGCTGGTGTTTTCAGCTTCGTGCTTCTAGCACATTGCTCTAGAAGCACGAAGCCGAAAACACCAGCCTGAAGATGACGAATGGGACTTCGTCGAAACGTCGCCAAGACACTTCCAATTTTACGCAGGAGAAAACCCGAATAACCAAACACCTACATACATACATACATACATATATATATAAATGTATATAAAAATTAATTGCAGGCCATATTTTAAAAGACAGCAGAGTTGCTGCTTAGTCAGCAATATTTCTCCTAAACAATGCTTGTTATAGCACATTCATACATCACCTAAAAAGAAATGAAAAATGCTTTCTCCATGCTATTTTATAGTATATATTTTCATCAATAAATTCACACCATGAATCAACTGACATTTTGTAAGTCAGATGGTAAATTTATGGCAGAACTCCAGAATCTATTCCTATACACCACTAATTTTATTTTGCTTATTTGTATGTACTGTATACATTTGCATATATAAATAATGTATTCACAAGACGTACAGCTGATTAGTGTTGATTTCATTACTGATAGGGTTATTTAAACATTCTAAGTACAGAGCCTTCTACAAACTTGCAGCCAATAAAACATTACAAGGATACCACTCTGAGAAGGCTGTTGTCAATCATCATTCTTGGGAAAAGGCAATGACAACACAAAGAGAACCACAATGGTTCCGTGCTTCCTGAAAGTGAGGCAAGAAGCATGATGTACATTCATAAAATCTCTGAAAACAGACCTTAATTGCATTGCAGCAAGTAAAACTCATTAAATTGAAATAAAATACTTTTGAATCAACGTGTCTAGAATTATGTGACTATCACATGATAGTGGAATTAAGGTTAATTTATTTTTCTATAATTTACAATCAATATCTAAAGTAGTTTATGCACATCTCCTAAAGTTTCCATTTTACAAAATACTACAATTTGTATGTTAATAAACCGAAGTGTGAAACTAATGTATGTCTCAATAGGAAATAGACACACATATATGTATCAATTTGATTTAGACCAAAATCAGAAAATATGAAAAATTGTATTAGCAATTACTCCTGTGGCCATTTTATTCAGCTCATTATATAATTACTATATAATATTAATCTGTTGAAAAGGAACCATTGTGATTTCTTTGATTTCACTGCTAACAGCAACAAAATTATATATATAGCAGTATATTTCTTTGTTCAAGGGGGAAAAAAGGAAAAACTCCTAAGAAATCTACTAGTACACTGGTACAATGCAAATCATTTACATGCCCAGATGTAGGAATTTAAAGTATTTTTCCTTTGATCCCTTGGAGATAGCATTTTATATCTTGAGTATCTGAGGGAAAGTGGGCAATTTTTTAAACGGCAGGCTTAGCTGAATTATAAAGAATCTTGAACTCTACATGTAAAAAAATCTTCAGTGCTTTAAACCAGGGGTCCCCAACCTTTTGGGCATCAGGGACCGATTCTGTGGAGAAAGATTTTTCCATGGACCAGAAGTACATGGTTTCATGTGCTGCCTGTATCCCGCAGATGGGGCTTTGCTTGTTAGCCCGGTTTCTAACATGCCGCAGACCAGTGCCGTTCCACGGATCAGGGGTTGGGTTCCCCTGCTTTCAACAGCATGTTGAAGCCTATTACTAAACTTTGAGAAACCAAATTTGTGCCAGCCCTTCTCTTAAGTTATATTTAAAAAGCCATTTCATTAGGGAACCCTCAAGAACTCTGAAGGATTGTTTGAATACTGCCAATGTAGTATTGTTCATCTCTTAAGCAGAATTCAAAAAACAAGAACAAGCCGCACAACTCAATTCAGATATTTTATGATTAATTTTAACCATATCTT